GGATCACAGTGCTCACAGGTGATATTCTGTATTTAGTGAACTAGTCTTTAACTGAGCTGAAAGATGGTCTCAAGAAGAATTTCAGTCCGAGGTTTAAAGAGTATCTCAGGACAGTAGTCTCTAGTAGTCCCTCCAGTCTCAAACTGGTCCAGTAAGTCTGTGTTTTTGTTTTGTTTTTAGGAATTTGAGGTTCTTTTCCACATTCTGCTCCCTTTCTGTCGGGGTCTATATGTTATGGCTCTGATCAGAATGATCAGTTCTCATGATAGCTGGGCACCATCCGTTTCTGGTCTTGGTATAGCTGTAGACTGTTAGTCCTGTGGGCTCATTTCTTCTGGAGTCTTTGGTTTTCTTCTTTTTCTTTTGCTCTGGACAAGTAGAGAGCAAATATCTTGGATGGCCACTCCCCAGCTTTTAAGTTCCCAGACTCTATTCATCAAACTAGGGTCTCGAACATAAACTTTAGGAACTTTTTTATGCCAATTGATTTAGATATCCCATGAGACTATGGTTCTAATCCTTCAAACCTAGAAAACCAGTCCCTCAAGGTGTTCAGTTATATCCAAGAAGTATCCGTAAATGTATCCCCTATATGTTTTATTGTGTAAGAAAGATGAGGTTTTCTGCTCCAGTGAAAATTAAAAAAAAAAGCCTCAGAAATCCTTATAATGCACTTAACAACGATAGCACGCTCTTTATTATAAATATGAATATATATATTGGGGTTTCAAAAAGTTCACGAAAAAAAATTCCATTATTTTTCATGTACTTTTTGAATCTCCCTTGTATCTGCAGACTAATCACATTGCTGGTGTTGTTAAGTGCCGTCGAGACAGTTCCTACTACTAGTGACCCTACTACTAGGGTTTCTAAGGAACAGCTGGTGAGTTTGAACCACCAACCTTGGAGTTCAAACCGACGTTGTGTTCCATTGCTTATCCTACAGTACCACACCAGGCTCATATAGTTACATATGGGCATATATGTATATGTGTGTGTGCCTATACCTATACATGCACCCATGCACACACACACATATATATTCACATATACGAGGGGGCTTCATAGGGTTCATGGAAAATGAAATTAAAAGATAATGAAATTTTTCTAGAAACTTTTTAATCCCCTTCATCTATACATGCCTTTATGTTGTTGTTGTTGAGTGCTGTCGAGTCGATTCCGACCCATAGCGACCCTGAACAGGGTTTCTGAGGCGGTAAATCTTTACGGGAGCAGAACACCTCATCTTTCTCCCGCGTAACAGCTGGTAGTTTCGAACCGCTGACCTTGCGGTTCACAGCCCGATTCGTAACCACTACGCTACCAGAGCTCCTTATGCATAAATATAAACCTGCACATGTATTTCTTCAGTTGTTGCTGTTCTTTCAAAGATATGTATGCCACAGTTGTTACTAAAAGATCCTTTTTTAGTGACAAAAGGGCATGCCCTCTTAACATATTACATATTGTTTATACATGTTACCCACTTGTTCCCCCCATCCATCTGTGTGATCCAGAGGAGGAGTGATGTGGGTTCATTGAATGTGGATCCACCCCACATGTGATCAGTTACCACAGAAGGTATTGTGATTGTGGGCTGTGAATTGGATTTATGCTGTGCAGAGCAGGGAGATGCTGTTACCACTTTACCACCAGCAGTCAGACCACATCCTGGACACTAGGCGTTAACAGAGACCCTGACCTTCGGACTACCCACAGAAAGCTGTGGGCAAGACGTGGCACCGTGTCGTATAAGGAGTAATGGAGGCACGAAAGGACATTTATTTGTGACAAGCCTGGAAAGGATATGATTAACTCTCTTCAAGTATTTGAAGGGCTGTCATGTCAAGAAAAATTAGATTCACTCCATGTGGTTATGAGGGCAGAATGAGCAGCAAGCGTTGGATGTTCCAGGATTCGGTTTAATGTAAGAAAGCCTTTTCTAACAGAAGAGTCTGAAAATGGATCGGGGTCCCCCTGGAAAAAAGTGAATCCCCTTTCCCTCCACATCCCTGGAGACACTCAGGCAGGAGCCAGCTGTCACTTGGATGACAGGGCATAGCATGTGCATGGAGAGGTTCATCATACGGATTTCATTCGGAGACCTTTGAGAAAACGTTATGACGGTGAGGCCTTGAACTTGAAATCACAGCCTGGAATAGAACAATCTTCCGCAAAGCCAGATGAAAATGTTCCACAAACACTGTTCAGTCTCTGAAATGTTTCTTAGAACAAGGAAGTAACTTTTGAACCTGCTAACCTGACGTTGTTCTACACTCAGCTCATTGGTGGATCAAAATGTACTCTTTTGACAATTTATGACAGTTATTGTAGTAGTTGTATGGGAAGCGTTTCCCCCTCAGTTTTCTATGTTTCCCTTCTTTTTTACGCAGTTTGTCTACCATAGACCTTTAGACCTTTAGACTCCAGCACCTGGTAAATAGGAAGGAATTATTTTCACGTACGGTTTGTCTTTGTGTAACCTTTTCATCATCTTTTTTTAAAATTCATATATTATTTGCTAGAAAGTTGTACATAGTTTTCACGGAAGAAATAGCAAGTGCTTTACTGTCTTCAGTTTTTTTAAATACCTTTAATACTTTTTAACATGTGTTTTCATTATTTTGGCAAAGATACTCCGAGAAGTTAAAAAAAGAACCGATGGCACAGAGTAATAAAAGAATATGTGAAAATTTGCCCATCTGATTTTAATGCTTCTAAAGCACAGGAGTCTTGGTGTGGCACTGTAGGATAAGCACTGGACTGCTAACCACAAGGTTGGAGCTTCAATCCTCAGAAACCTTACACAGGATCGTTATGAGTTGGAACCAACTCAGCTCAATAGCACTTACCAACAACAGCAACTGGGCACAAGTGATTAATACTTACCTAACATCTTGCCCTTCAAAGTCTGGTCTGGGGACCAGCGGCAATGGACTCTTATGGAAACTTATTACAAATGCCAGATCTCAAGCTCTACCCTAGGGCTACTGAATCACAGCCTGCATTTTAACAAGTCGGGCTTTCTATAGTGGGGGATAGGATATTCCAGAAGACACTATGTAGACCTGTGGTTAATAATAATACTCTTGCTCTTTCTTTTTTGCACTTGTTATATGCCTGGCATTGTGGCTGAGTTTTTTCCACATTTGTGAGCTTATTTAATCCACAGAATAACCCTATAAAGTCCGTCTTATTAGAGGTTCAGGAAAGTTTCATAGGGATGCCAGAGGTGTCACTAAAAGACAGTTTCTCGAGTCTGCTTTGCCTCAGCCTGAATCAGGAAAATTGAGGCCCTGCTCATAATGGGGTAGCCTCGCCAAGAGCTAAAGCCTCTGGTTTCTCTGAGGTTCCCCAGATGTAATGCTTGGGCACACCCTGTGCTGCCTGGTGGAGTCTGGGCACCATGAGGCGGATTGCAGAGACAACAGTTTCTCTGGCTGTGGACACTTAAGCCTTAGCCTTTGACCCTTCATGGTCCAGTTGTGGTTTCGTATGAAGGAGCATGGTGTAGGGGAGTCATTTCCAACAGACCTTGGAAAGAGAACAAGCTAAGCCTTCCACATCTTATCTGCAGTAGGACATCCCCAAGCATCAGTTTGGAAAAAAAAAAAACCCAAGAGGACTAGACAAACACATTTACCAGGTGGTGCCAAGATCAAAGCATGCTGAGGTTTTCTTGTTTTGTCTTTTAACATGAGGAGTCTTTTAAAAGTTTGTGGGGAATTAAAAGTTAATGGAGTTTTTTATCAACTTTTTGAAGCCCCCTTCATATAAGTTCATTTAAAAAAATATGTATATATACATATAGGAAAGAATGGATATTTATTAGAAACCAGTTGTAGTCTTCCATTTCTGAAGCATTTATGCTGGCTCATTTTCTTGCACTCTACTTTGAGAAAGGAGATAATATCAAGGATAAGACCCACCCACTGTCACTAAATCTATTCCAATTCACAGTGGCCCCATAGGACAGAGTCGAATAGCTCCAGAGGGTTTCCAAGATTGTCACTCTCTATGAGAACAGACAGCGTCATCTTTTTCCTGTTGAGTGGCTGATGGGTTTAAATCCAAGCCAACACCTAACTCTCTGTGCCACCAGAGCCCCTTAGACAAGAAGTGTTCCTTCATCATTAAGGAATATACTTGCACACCTGCAGTTACTTCTCTTTTCTTCTTGCACCTGTCTTGCTTTGAATGTTTAAGAAAAGGTTTGTAATTGTCACAATTTGAACAGCTCTGAAGATAATGACTTACATCAGTAGTAAACTTCCAATTAGGAAATCCCAGGATTTTAAGTCTCCCCCAAGTGTGAGGTTCTATAACCCATGATGTTGTTAAGTGCCATCTAGTCAGTTAGTTCCGACTCACAGCGACCCTGCATAGGGTTTCTGAGGAGTGGCTGGTGAGTTTGAACCAAACTTGGCGGTCCAGTGCATGCCCTACAGCATTACACCAGGACTCCCCATAACCCATAAAGGTAATGTCTTTAAAAAAGTTTTTTTCCATAACCCATACTGGTGAAAAATTAAAGACATTACAGTTATATTTACTTAAAAATTACTAAGCAAAATTGATTCTGAACCCTGAAGCAAAATTATTATAGTAATTAGGATTAATTTATGTATTTTGCAATTATTCATCTACCTATTTACCAGTTGGATTGGAGCCCTAGATAGGATCTGAAAAGGGAACATTAAAAAATTCACCAACCCTTCCCAATCTATGTCACACTCCTCACCCCTCCCCCAACTAGTTTTTTAAAAATCAAGACCAAATTTCACCTCCACGCCCACTGCCACTTGGTGGTATTTTTGTTTCTCTTTAGGTATCATCCCTTTTTTTTTTTTCTTTACCATTGACATCGGCTTATTTCATATGAATGCATAATAGATTAAATACATATGCATTTAAAATATTGTTTTGATTTGTTTGTGAATTGTTTCTCTTAAAGGGTCTATCTGGGGAAATGAGTAATTCCTCATATCCTGTTCTTGCAGGAAGAATTTTGAATCGTTTCTCCAAAGACATTGGACATATGGATGACTTGCTGCCTCTGACATTTCTAGATTTCATCCAGGTAATGTACTCGTAATGTCATATTCCCAAATGGAAAATTGAAGTTCCTGACGTTTCAGGGCCTTTCCCCGGGGACCTGGGGGCAGAGGGGTGGGGGCTTTCTGCCTGCAGATGTGTCATTCCACCTTACTAAAGGGCCATGTTTGTAAAAGAAAGGTGTGGTTATGATTCGGAGCTCAGTTAACATGAGTAATGCCTATTGTGTGGGAGTGACTACACAGCCGGGGCAGGGTTTTCGTTTGCAGCAGTGACATGCTTGGTAAATGGCTCTTGGGCTGCCTCCCAGGTATCTGGCGTGAATTTGGCTTTACTGTGAACACATTTCATAATACAAAAACAATCACCTCGCACGGAAAGATAGCCTAGATTAACCAAATTATGCATTGTATTACCACAAAGGACAAATATTTACTGCACCGGGTTTTTTTTTTTTTTGGGGTTTTTTTTTTTTTTTTTATAAAGCCAGGTGTGGTTACTTACAAAGAAAAGATTAGTAATAATAAGGTGAAAATAATACTTTGCGTTAACAAGGACAATAGAGAGCAGTTATTGGAGACACAAAGCCTTTAAAGGCAAGTATGTTAAAGCCAATCATTTGAGCACAGGATCAAAGTCACCTCAGAAATTTTTTGTTTTTCTAGGCAGTTTTTCTTTTCACACGTTGATTGTTCTAAGACTTAAGCTGTCTCTTTTTCAAAAAAAAACCAACACAAAACCAACAATCCCACAGAAATATCTCCTGTAGAGCATTTGTTTTGTCTGTGAGCTTGAGGTTCTATGGAATAATGTTGGTTCATGCCATTTCTCTTCTTCTCATTCAGAATTGTTGCTCATGTGGTATTTTTTCTGTTGGTTCATTCTGTCTACTTTCCAGTGTTTAAGGCCGGGAAACTTTCTTCTTTTGTTTCCAAGTGTTTATTTTGGAAACAAAATGCACCCATCCAGAGTTTTACATTTTCTAAAATCCCAGCTGCTGTTGCTAGGACTCCTGAGCTTGAACCTTTGTCACTTGGCCTAAGTGCCAATTTACAGCAGTCTAATCGTGAGCAGATTTGAAGGCCAGAAAGTGGGTCTGTAATTACGGCTTGCTGTCCTGATGGCTCTTGTTTTTACTTTGTTGTTAAGGCTCAAATGTTCTTGGAGTCAAAGCATAGGAACTCCTCTGGAGCCGCTGTTATAATAAAAGCAGCCCAAACTACTTAATTTGGAAAATTAGCTGTGTCAGAAAAATCAGTAATCATCTTGAAATGATTACAGGAATTCTGTTAACCATATAGAAATGCAACAGTGCTCTCTGACTGCAAATAGCGTCCACCCACCGCCTCTGTTTACCAACAGAGTGGGGACTCAAGCAGAGTGCTGCTACTGCAGACATGGACCTCTGCTTTTCTGTTTGGTTCTTTTTCTTGTGCAAACTTACTTTGTGAGTGTGTTCTGCTGGCCTTAGCAATGTAGGCAATCTATATCCTAGAAGCAGCCTCTCAGTCAAAAACAGTTCCATTTTTCCCAAAGAACGCAGATGACTTCAGGTACAGGTTGTGACCCAGATTGTTAATGACTGAGAAGACGGTGTGATGTATGTTCTGTTACTTTATAACCGCAAGTTCGGAAGAGGTGGGGTTGCCATAGCTGTGTGGTCCACTGTGTGCGTGGCCTGCAGTGGACGTAATGATTAGAATCCCTCATCTATCTTTGTGTCATGTATTGAGGACAAGGGTGGATGCTGCTTGGTCGCCGTTGAATGCATTAGCAGCATGAGGATAGTCATGCTGTACTGCTTAACCAAAGAAACGGGACTTTTTTTTTTTTTTTTAAATCTGAGCATTTAATCTACAATTTATTGTTGAATACAATTAGTCCCAATTAGCTGATTTCTCGAATTCAATAGCAAAGGTAAAGCTTGGTGTTATTGTCTCAGAGAAAGGAGTTTTATATAAAGGCTAACTCAGTTATCAATTATGATAAAGATCTATTGTCACTTGTTTTGTTTGCAGGTGTCTTTAATAAGGCTTGCCATAATCCCTTCAGGAAGAAATATTTTCTCCTTTTAAAAATAGTATTAGCTAAATATAAAAGCTCTGATCCCTGGCATTGTTGCTGTTTCTTTGAGGGACAGTTCCCAACATTCATTGTTTAAATGGTTGTCAGGAGGAATCAAGTGAAACTCAATAAACAATGCAGTAACTGGTTCATTTGACTTTGTGTGCTGAAGCTTTTCTTGAAAGGATTTGCATTCGATGAGTGGACTTTTTGACTGAGGTATCTCTGGGATCATTCTGAAGTAGTTTGGCCTGTTGCTCTATTAGCAACCAAAGGTTTTTATTAAACTCACAAAAATGAATTTAACCTGCCCTCCAATAAAGGCCAACAAAATTCTAAATGTAATGTTGTTGTTTTTTTAAAGTTGGATGTGATTCTTGTCAGGATTAAAACAACCCAGTGGTGTTCTGGGACTCTTAATGGAATCATGTAAACTTAAAATAAACACTAGAATGGCAAGCGCATAGAATGAAAACTAATTTTGCAAATCAAATACACTATATTCAATTCATTTTCCCCAATCAACCAAATGTTTAAAACCTGTTAGTTATAACAGCAATCTTCTGGAAATTAATTAGAAGCCTATTAGCTGTGCTAGCTGAGTCGAATGAAGGGGGTTGCTTGCTATATTTCTAAACAGGCTCCTAAATTAAAGCGCAGCAAGGTCAAAATGACAATCAGCTTGCCTCTCTTTGTGGCTTCGCCTAAGTAGCTGATCCAGTTGGGTTTTTTTTTTGGGGGGGGGGAATTGGGGCGGGAAAGTTTTTAGAAAGTTTTTATGTACTTTGACTCAATCCTCTAATAATTTTCCTAAATGAGGTACCAGCCAGGTGAGCCACACGGTTAGGATGGATATCATCCGTGGAAACAGTAGCATCTGCTCAACTGCATGGGAATCAGAAATGGAATGACTTTCCCCACCTTTTGTCTGTCTCAGTAACTTTTCTGACAGGTTTAGTTAGCCCTTTTCAGATCTGTCATAGTAAAAGTCCTGACTGCCTTTGATTTTCATGTCCTTAACAAAACCTGCTGTTAGCATTAGAAGACTCTCTGTTTTAACAGGAGTCCCTGGATGGTACAAACAGGTTAAGTAGACCGACTGCTAACTGAAAGGTTGGAGGTGTACATCCATCCAGAGGTGTCTCGGAAGAAAGACTGGGGGACCTGTGCCAACTGTTTTGATTTTTGTTCTTTGTGAAATATAAGATGTAAATTGGGAGCCACAGGGAGGAAGTAGGATAAGTGTTGTTGCAGAAAGGGATTGTATAAAACTGTATAAAATGTTGAGTGTAAAATTTACGATCTTGTCTGTAAACCTTCACTCAATTCACAATGAAAAGTTAAAAAAAAAGTTAGTCATTGAGAACCAATATGACACACACGTCTACTCTGGCACATACAGGATCACCAGAGTCAAGTTGATGATAACTGGCTTTTTGTTTGTTTGTTTTAGCTTCTTGTGTCACGTTCCGTGGGCAAAAATCAGTTATGAGTTTAGCAGTCTCTCCTATGTCCAGAGATACAACAAGGGAGCCCTTCCAAACCTATCCTGATGATGGTAGTTGAGTTTAAGGACTGGAAATTTCCTTGCCAAGATGTTACCCTTATTACTGTCTTGCAGTAAAAAAGTGGTCTTTACTGATCTGAGGGAAAGCTGCATACCAGTCATTACTCCTCAGTCAGAAAGAACTCAGGGGAATTTAGAAAGGAAGTCTAAATCCAAAGCTTAGATGCCTTTTTGAATAGGAACTTAAATAGACCAAAATATTCAGACCAAGACTGTGGTATTGATATTGTATCTTATGGAAGATACAAATGTGATGAGGCTTCTTATGGAGAATTAAAATCTAATAGCTATAGAAATACATACTATAATTACGTTTATCCATGTGAATTTTTTAATCGAAAGCATGCATGTTTGATTGCTTTTTCTACATGATAATGACAGTTTTGTTGGGTTCATAAATAATGCATACCACTGGGTTAGAACTTAATTCTGCCTCCAGTTGCATCTGATGCTAAGCATTTGGGAAGGAGAGACCCTAGGACGACAGTTATTTGTGTCAACATGCCTAAAATCAGTATATAACTGACGCTTGAACAACATGGGTTGAGATTTGAGAGCCCACCTATATGTGGATTTGCTTTCCCCTGGTACTGTTACATTCCAGTGTCCGCATAAAATGCCATGTGATGCTAATCATCTCACATGAGCAGTTCACGTGCAGAGATGATTAGTGTCCCATGTCACATGGCATCTGAAGCAGATGCTCACAACACTCCAGCTTGCCGTAATAGCGGTGGGGAAGAAGCTTCAGGTAAGTATGCAAGGGCATCTCAAACCGTGTTGTTCAAGGGCCAGATGTAGTCTGTCTAAGCATGTCGAAAACAGGAGGAAATCAGGTGCAGGTTGTATTACTTCATGACTTCGTGACTGCAACGAGGAAATACTACTAAAAATGTGAGCAAATTAACTGGCCAAATAGACTTTATTTACCTTTGTCCTTCAAATTCAATAAAAGATTTGTGTTTGGGTATGCATTGTGGGCTTTGTTTCGCTTAATAGCTGGTCTTAGCCATATACTAATGAGAAAGTGACAGAGCTCATTTGTAAAATGTGTGCGGTTCACTGCTGTTGTCCTCCATTAGAGTGAAAAAATACAGGGGGCAGTGGAGCTCTGGGTGTGTGGCTTTGTAGATAGATAGAAGTGTGAAGTAGATGTGAATGAAGAGAGATTCACTATTCCAGTAGTTTGGAAAGGCTAGAAGGAGGGAGGTTTTTGAAGTGTTTAGAAGTAGGAACTAATTCATACAACACCGAGTAGCAACGGTTTTTGGTAAACCCTCAGGCCTGCCGTGGACTTATCGCATGTATTAGCTAAGGGCTGGCAATGCACATGGGGCTTATCACAGGGCTGTTCAAACACGTTTTGTTTATTTGTTTACTTTCTCAACATTCAT